CTGTGGCCAGGCAGGCTGCCCCAGAATGCGACACAATTTCAAAGGCTTCCCCACAGCTAGAAATAGAAACAGGTTCCTTGAGAACCGCTTGGGCAATTTGAGAGGGGTCCTGGCTTGTCCCCGCGGCTACCCTTCAACGGTTACACTTCCAACGTCTCGCGGCAGGACCTTGCCTCGCAGAGGTGTGGTTCACGTCACCAGCCTGAGCGCTCACCTACCTCAATGGCTACACGTTCAGCCATATCGTGATTCGCTGCTGCACGCAGTTTCAGACTTGATCAATGGCCAGGAGGATTTGCATCTGCAGCTGGCACAGGTGCGCACGCCTGACGGCGATGGCCTTGGATCAGATGGCCCCTATGGGACGGCGACTTCGTGCTTGGCAGCGGTGGTGGTTGCAGTGACGGCCCTGAGCAACCCGGAGAAGGTGCCATCTCATCTGAAAGACACTTTGGGGTGCATCCGTGTCTTTTGGCTTTGGGCTTGAGTTGTGCCCTCTGACATCTTCCCACTCAGAACTAAGGACTGAGGACAAATCTAAGTAAGGAGTCAGTCGCTTTTTCGAGTCTAAACAAGTGAGACACTACCATTTGGCCACGTGGCCTGGTTCTGCCGCAAGCACCGAGCGGTAGGACGAGAAGCACGAGAAGCAGGCGAAAACGTGCTCGATTGGGCAGAAACGGAAAGGACCCAGATGGATCCCCAGGACGATGTAGTTGCTGTTAGCTAAGACAGGTCACCTTCTTGTACCGGCGCGCCGGTGCTAGACGTCAAAATGTACCCTCCCGCTGCCACTAGCAACCTGACATGCAATACTGTATACGTTTAAAACATACATCGCTCACCTGCTGATCCCGGCACGCCGGTGCCACTTAAAGTAAAGGCGGAACTGAAAAGATGAATTGCTTGGTCTTTTGTAGTCGAGGTCAAACACAAACAACGCCATATATACGTTCACCTTCTGAACCCGGCGCGCCGGTGCCACCCACGACCAGGCGAAAAGAATTGTCGTTGAAGGTCACCTTCGTGTCCCGGCGCGCCGGTGCTAGACCTGAAAATGTAGCCTCCCGCTGCCACTATAGCAACCTGACATGCAATACTGTTTACGTTTAAAACATACATCGCTCACCTGCTGATCCCGGCGCGCCGGTGCCACCCGCGACCTTCGGATAGGGTGACCCTAGCCATACTTGTGACCTAGACCTAATCACTGCCCATGATAGGGGATCCATTTTTGGTGACCTGCTTCCGTAACCTGATTGTTTTTGATCTTTTTTGTGGAGGGTTGTCTTTGGACCAAGCCATCGGTGGGTCTTGCTTGTCGTGAGAGGCTGCATCCACTCACCCAACCCGATCCGTCGGTGGCTATCCTGGTCCTCCGGTCGAAGAAATCCGTCTCATTACGCGCAGGTCCTCCAGAGAAGAGAGGCGCAACGTTTGTGCTGGACTGCGCGTCCTAACATGTTCCTAGTACGTTCAAGGGTTGCTTATATAGTCTTATAGTATTCATTGTATAAGTATATATATATATATAATTATCTTCGATTAACTACGTTGAAATTTACGGAGCTTCCCAGAGAGGCAGCGCACAAATTCCGGGTGGTGTACCGAACCCGAACCCGTCTCGTTTGATCGGGCAACCGCAAGCAGGCAGTTCAGCCCGTGTTGTGTGTGTGTAAAACGAAGCCTTGAGCACATACTTCGAGAACCCTAAAGTTTACGCTTCTTACTCTGTTCCAACATGACACTTGCGGTCTACAGCGGATCGGATTAACGCGTCCATTTTGCGTGGCAGGTACAGCGCGGTCAGATTCCCACACCCGTTTAAATTTATAATATTTATAAGGCTTTCGGGTGTGGAAATCTGACCGCAACTGAGGTGTCGACATGTTGCGCGTAGGATTCTAAGGGGAAAGGGTTTGTGATGTTTCACCAGTCAAGAAGCGCAACTTTTGGCACCCCAGTGTATGTAGGTGCGCAGTGTATAGTAATAATTACACCCCAAACATGAACAGAGTTTCAGAAGCTCCAAGAAATAGTAAATGCATATAATTGCAGGGATCTATTTGCTAATCTATACTTGAACCCACTTGGAGCACCAGACGCGGTCTATTTGGATCTACAAAGGGTATCTCTTTTTTGACCCGCAGAAAAAAGAAGGTGTGGATTCCTCAAAATGAGGACTTCACACCAAGACACTTGCTTGACTTGGCCAGCAAGACACCCGTGCTTGAGAAAGCCAAGCGGGAAGAGGTCCGGTGTGCTGGCCTCCGCGGATAGCTTCTGCATGCTGAAGCGACTGAAGTGAGCTCGACAGGAAGTGGAAAAAGAGTAGAAGTGTGCTTTGATTGTTTGGGCGGTGGCGAAATGTGCGTAAAATCTGGTAACCCGTCCTGAGTTACATCCAAGTGGAATCTCACGCAACCAGTGCCGAGTCTGGAGAGGGTACGGGTAGGCCTACTGAGAGGCGGCCCCCAACGCCACAAGGTGCAAGACGGATGAAGATTTGGTTTGACTCGGATCTGAAGTCATCCCTGATCTGTGTATCGAGGGTTTTATCAAAAACTGCTGGGGAAGGTTCTTGGCAAGGCTAGTCTAAGACAAAGTTTGGTGACTCACTCAGTTGCTGCACCCTGGGCCAAGTGGCCCCCCAAAACAAAGAGGCCTTTGAACTCATGCTAAACTTTAACCACAACACGGTGAGTATTAATGTGGTCCATCCAGCACTTCAAGCCATTGGCTTTGATCTTTCACTGTTTCAAACCTCCCTGAGGTCTTCACTTGACGCTTTGGTCGTTTTGCCGCAGCGAAATCCGCTGTCAGGAGTCGCCCTCGTGGGCAGAATCTCACCGCAAATGAATGCCCTAAGGCATCAGGCTGATCAGGAGCCTATGGATCTTCATTAAGTATTTCCATTCACAATATGCATGTGATTAATATATGTTTGTGTGTGTTCCTTCATGTTCATATATGTTCATGGCACGCTAGACGAAAGCATCGCTGCCTGATTCATAGACTCCCACTGCCTGCATCATGATCGGAACCATTCAGAAAATCGATTCATGCGCAAAGCTCACCTCAGCCAACACGTTGCAGGGGCGGCTCCTCGCAAGATGAGCCAAGCTGCACACCCGCAACGCGCAAAGGACCCACACACATCTGTGTTCGACTAGCATCTACGACTTGGATTCCAACTTGGCATTTCAATGGCGTTTGATGTGGATACAAAAGCCGGAATACGGCACATGACCAACATCTCGAATTCCTGGTGCATGTAGTGCACTGTCAAATGGAGGTGATGCCAGTTCCCGGCTCAATATGCATTAATATCCTTTAACAACACAAACACAAAACAAAAACAAGCTCTCGCGTCTGTCACAACCTCAAACCCCTGATGACAAGTGCACAGGCTGTCTGCACGCTCCATATTTATGTTGGTGTATGGCAGTGTATGGTATAGGAGCTTCTACTGGACTCCATTCAAGAATTTCACAAGGGTGCATGTACAAAACAGCACATGCTATTGTCCAAATTCCTGTTGAATGTAAATATCACACTGAACCGTTGTCTTTTCTGAGCAGCTGCTGCCCATGGGTGCCCACATGAGGATACAGGAGAGCCCCACTAAAACTCACGTTGGGTTTTGATGCCTTTCCTGATACGTACCCAGCAAGTTGCTACAGCATGTTAAGCCTCCAAAGTACCAAACTAGTGAAATCTTTTGTCAAGCCACAGGGTATAATTATGGTTCATTCAATATATGATATATAATGTATAACTTGCATCCAGCCAAAGAGATGTTCTTTGTGCCGGTCATCTCTTTGGAAGGCACAAGTACAAGCTAAATCATCCGTTTGAAGGTCTTGGACGGTGCGCCATTACATACAGTATGTAACTAGGTTTAAATAAATATAACAATATGCGTCATTATACAACATATTTTAACATCTATTATATCTATAATATATTAAGTTATAAATATTATATACATACATGTGTGGGGAAGTATTTTTTATTGTGCCCTTTTGGGCTGACTCCAAGACCTCAAATCACTGGGACACCGTGGAAAGCCGTGGAGGAATGGAGGACGAAAACAACCAACACTGACCTCTGAGCCGTTCGAGCCAACTTCGAGCCGAATCGATCAGACGAGACGAGACCCACATGACCAAGAGCCGACTGCGGCCGAGCGCGGCCGTCACGTGACTTGCTGCGACATCTTCGACCGAAGCAAGGACCAGATCTGAAGCAGAAAGGCGACGATAATTGTGCTCATAGATACTTAGTAGCTCACCGGACCCAAAACCCGCATTACCAGGAAACCTGATATAGTTATGACCTGTTCATTACCGTTTCTTATTTTATCAATTTTAAATAGGTCTTTTCTCCCAAATGAAGGCAGCTGTATCGACCGGAGGGAAACCGCATGCAACAACTCACATGTTTCCGTCCGTTGCTGACAAGAGGCTGTTTGCCATTCATCTAAGTTATCCTCAAATGTGCCCGCCCATAAATGACGAAATGGCACCGAGGAAGATCTGAACTCTGACTTTCGTGATCTTTCACGGCACACTCGGGCAAAAAAGGAGTGGCCAGATCCCCACTTAAAATGGTAGATCAACACAATACTGTATGTGACAAAAAGAACAGTTGTCCTTTCGGAGAATGCGAGCAGGATAGATCTTGGATGATATGTGAGGACGTAGTTCCACTCATGCGACGGGATTGGCAGGTCCAAGTGATCAACTAAGGTTCCCCTATGGGCCCCTAGCAGTAGCACCCTTGACCCCCATACTGAACCCATCATCCCCAAAAACTCTGTTGAGGGTGGCCATCGCTTCTACAATTTCTGCAATCTTGAAAGGAAACACCCCCAGGTACCATCCCGCCGAAAACATCCATTGGGCCACTTGTCTCTTCCGTTTGTTACGTTTTCATGCGGCATCTGGAGGCCGAGCTTCCTCTATTTGGCCTGGCGGACCCAGTGTTCGGGTGGGCCGTCGGGGGGTGCTAAAAAGACAAGGCCACACTGAGACAGTGTAGACCCTCCAAGGGGTGGTTAATGGAAGCCTATAGGTAGTGTGGGGTAGTCCATTAGACACCCCGACAGGAGGGTCCAGGTGCAAAATTTGAACATGAAACAAGCTCATGGAATGCGCCCGCATGTGCCCACCGATAAGACATGCGACCACGTGGCTATCAGGGTGCCAAATGCTGCAAACACGCTCAAGGGGCCCTCGAGCAGGTTTCCCCTCCAACGTGTCCCGGGTTACCCGGCACATGTTGAACAAAAAATAAGACCACCACCAAACAACTACCTCACCCAACCTCCCGACCCGCTTCCAGCTGGGGCGGGTGCCTGGAAAGCCTTGAGCGCCTGCTGTGCGGCCGGAGAGAGGCCTTTGCCCGCCAAGAGTTGCTGGAACT